TAGTGTTGCGGTTGATTTGTTTTATATGTTTTGTCCAATTTTTTTTTAATTCTTACTGTAGCTGATGAGTGAGTTCATATTACGATGATATTCGCAATTTTAAGCCATGATTTAGTTGAGAAAGATAATTACAGAGTAAGATATCTGACTCAATATACGTCATATATTGAGTCAGATATCTTACTCTGTAATTGACTTTCATTGTATATTTTTTAAAAGATAGGGTAGAAAAATGAATTAAATTTTCATTCGGCTATCTATAAAAATTTCATGTATGCTTCCTATTACTCTCATATTTCCAGATACTGCGCATATTTTGACATTCTCGATTCTCTGGAGTAAGTAAGTAAATATAAAAATAGAGCAATTTCCTTAATAAAAATGTGGTAGATCGTAGGAATTAAATATTTTAGTTAATGCGTATGAAAATAATTGTATGAAATTAACATTGTTTAAAAACATTTGACCATGATACTTCAACGTGTTACATTAGTAAATCATCGAAAGTACATTGTAAAAAAGTATAAAATGAAGATATTTCTTTAATTTATGTGGAGTACTGAGGGATAGGGATCCATTTCTTTAATTGCTCTAGTAATCTTTCTTTATGACAGTTAATAACATTAAGTTAATAACATTAGTTAATATTTTTTGTTTATATGAATGCAAACTATATAAAAATGTATAAAATCAGGTACCTAATAATAGTTTATTGATTATTTAAGTTATACTAATATTTAAGAAAAAGGCTTTTAGTAAGTTTGTGAATTTTTTTGATTTAACATTGTAATAAAATATTTCGCAAATTGATTAATTTTTTAAAATTTATCTTCGTGTGTTTTTTTCTCTGCTCTTTTAAATGAACATTAGTTGCTTTTAAAACAGCAAGAAAAGAACATTAAGTGTAATTTAAAATGTACGTCTTTTTAAATTAAAAAAATACTTAAAGAAATTTAATATTATTTTTAAATGAAAAGTTATTCAATTAAAAAGAGCAGGCACATAAAAAATTAGCTCATCAACACAATAATTTTTAAAATCTGTTAAATTTAATAAAAATAGAGATTTAGCAGAAAACAAAAAAAATTCCTGCCGTGACCAGGGGTTTGAACCTGGGTTATTGCGGCCACAACGCAATGTACTAACCACGATGTACGATCACGGTTTCGAACTGAATCTGCCTAAGAAGGATTTTGCTCAATTCGGAAAGGCCGCGGTAGCCGAGTGGTATAGGTATCGGATCGTGGCTTGCCTTGTCACGAGTTCGAGCCCAGTACCACTAAAGACCCGCCGTGTAGGGCAGCGATGCACGTTAAATCTGTCGAGAGCTGAAACGTCCTCCCGTTGGTGTGGTGTGGTAGTTAGGAGAGGGAGGTGCCAGCTCAGGTGTCGTCCACGTCACTTGACCATGGTTCAAAATTACGTGGTCCGTCGCCAAAAGCCCTCGTGTAGCTGAACAGTGCGACGTTAATATTCAATCAATCAATCAATCTCAATTCGGAAAACGAAATTGCTCTACTTTAAAAAAAAACGACCCACAAAGGCTCAGTCTCTCTGTCTCATTGAAGCATATCAGTTGCAATAAAACACACACTTAAATATATTACTTATTACTATCTATGGTAAACGAATTAAATTTTATGTGTAATTTTGTTTCAAATGAGTGTTAATGCACTGGAGCTCTGCGAAACAAAAATAAAAATAAATTATAGTTTAGAAAACTAAAAAAAACATGTTTTTTTTTATGGTTAATCGAACTAAAAAGTAAAAACATAATTCTTAATATAATAATAAAATGATTAACGAGAAAATTAATGTTATTGGGATAAAGCGTGGAATGCTCTATATTAATTGTTATAATTTCTTACTAATTCTCTATTCCTAAATGCTGAGTTAGTGTAAAAATTTAGTACAAAGCACACACTCACCACGCTTTTACCACACAATGATATTAATTGTCTCGTAAATCATTTTATTCTTATATTAAGAATTGTGTATTTACTTTGTAGTTCGATTAACCATAAAAGTGTGTTTTTTTAGTTTTTTTAAACAAAATTTATTTTTCATTTTTTAGTTCGATTTTCAATAAAAGCATGTATTTTTAGTTTTTTAAACCATAATTTATCCATACACTTTTTAAAAAATTTTTTTGACCCGTGACTGAAAAAGTTTGCCCATCCCTGAGTTAAAACACATTTTTTTTCCACATGCACAAATCTTTTTTCTTTCTTTCCATTTTTTGAAAAACTGAACAATTTTTTTTCATTATGATAAGAAATTGCTGACGCAATAAAACGTTTTTGCTTTCAGGTCTACTCTTAATCTTCCAGTCGCCAAATCTGGAAATCGTTATTCCTAATTGTCCTGATCAGGACAATGGAACAAAATTATTGTGTTGTCATCGGTCCTTGACAACTGTGCAAAATTTCGAATTAATCTGACCGTTCAAAGTGCGTAAAAATCGAGTTCAACGATTCCGTTTTACACACTAGTGAAACTTATCAAAGTGCATTAATAAATGGAAGGATCCGAATGAAACGATAGAAAAGATGCAAAATAATCTTGGAGTAGACAATTAAGTCATACATGTAAATAAACATTAATAATACACCTTCTGAGTGGCGTACACAAATCTCTCTTATGGGGGGGGGCTACATTCTAAAAAAAAACAAGTTGGCAAAAGAAAGCACCGAGCGGTAATTTATAATGTCGAATGTAAAAATTTGTTACCCCACCCTTGTGTACGCCACTTCGCTTTCTTGCCTGCATATATAATCAATTAGCGCCATGGTTAGAAGAAACGGTCACCACTTTTGATAGTTATTTTCAATTATAGGACGAACTACTTGAATATGAAGGTAGAGAGAATCTGAAAGATATTAATTCACAACTACATCAAAATTATTTTTTTTCACAGAGGATGCTCAGAGGAAAACCCAATTGAATTGAAACTGTCTGATGGTCTCTTGCGAAAAAAATTGATTCTGAAAACTTGTTTTTTTCACCGTCAACTTTTAAATAATTTAAATAAGTTTGGGGGTTAGTTCTTGAATACATATAAACTGAAAGAATATAAAGGTTCTTTCATTTTTCTTGTGTCTTTTACTTAAACTCATTGTGTGACGTTTCAGAGAAAATTTCGATTTTTAGAAAATTAAACTCATGGATGAAAGAAGACTTGTGCGCACAAAGTGATTCAAAATTTTAGCGGTATAGTGAAATATGCTTCCCTTTAAAGCAGCCATACTCAACCCGCGGTCCGCATGTGGCCCACCGAGCCTTTTTAAGTGGCCCTGTCATGGCTCATTGCTGTGAGCAATTCTCTTATTTAACGACATTGTATTACATTATTGGAGGGAAATGTTTTGTCAAGAAATCAAAACAATCAATTTTGCTTTATGCTGTCGGTGTCGTACGGGTACGAATTGATATTTTTCTATTTGGAACGGTTACGGTTAGTGATAACAGACAGCAGTAGAGTAGCGACAATTTTATAGGTGGAACTAATTTTTAACTATCTTTCATATCTTACAAGCGAAAAATATTCGAAGAAAATATAACGTTTCAAGACGATTGGGAGGTTGACTATTTTGTAGTGAAACACACAAACATGGATCCGTAATTGTTTGATTAGTCACGAAAGTGCTGTATTTAAAAAATACCAATAAACAGGAATCATTCAATGGCACTTTTCCTCGAAGATCTCTTTCAAAATGTGATAAATAGGCTTTCTTGAATAATGTTTGCAACAGAAACGGAGTGTTTTGTCAGTGGTCATATCACAGCGGTAACAAAGGCACCCTATGAAATTTGTTATACTATTGATAATCATATGAACCTGTTTACTGATGCAGAAATTGTGAAGGAAAATGCTTCTAATCTTGTGTTTGTAACAAAAATAAAAAATATAAGAAATAATAATTTTAAAAAATCAAACAGGAGTTATAGTATTTTGATCAATTTTCCGTATTTTAACTTTCCAATGCTGCCTTGGTCTTCAAGCATCCCCCCATTTTTATGCTCATGTTGCGGCCCGCGTGAAATAGCTGACATATGAATGCGGCCCAGCAGAAAAAAAGGTTGATTACCCCTTCTTTAAAGGCAGCATTGCCCGAATATAATATTCGTATTGTATATTTAAAAAATTTTCCAATTTAGGATGCTTATCCATACAAGAAGTCGTGGAGTGTGTCATTGTCTGGATCTCATCTCATAGATGTAACGGATTATACTCTAATATCACTTGTTTACATTATATATATAAAAAAGCTGTTTGTAATAAATGCAACGCCGTGAAATGAATGCAACACCAGTTCAGCAGTATGGTGGAATCTTAGATTCTATGGATGCCAGTATTTCATTTTCTTGAAAGTTAAAACTTGATTCATATTTATTGGAATATATTTTATTAGGATAAATTTTCTCCCGTTATTGTGTTGTTAAAAATTTGCATCAGATTTCAAGTTTTAATAAAGGCCGCGGTAGCCGAGTGGTATGGGTATCGGATCGTGGCTTGCCTTGTCACGAGTTCGAGCCCAGTACCACTAAAGACCCTCCGTGTAGGGCAGCGATGCACGTTAAATCTGTCGAGAGCTGAAACGTCCTCCCATTGGTGTGGTAGTTAGGAGAGGGGGGGTTCCAGCTCAGGTGTCGTCCACGTCACTTGACAATGGTTCAAAATTACGTGGTCCGTCGCCAAAAGCCCTCGTGTAGCTGAACAGTGCAACGTTAATAATCAATCAATCAATCTAAATATGCGTGTAGAATAGGGTCCAACGAGAGCATTTTCTTTTTCTAGGTGTTCCATGAAAACGTCTTCGAGTTCCAGGAGTTCCATGCGTTGAAAAAGTTAGAAGATGTGGGGAAACGGGAATGTCTTCAAGAAATGATGTGTTTTTTCAGAAAATACTATGCTTGAACAAACACTCATTAGGGGAGTCTCAAAGTAGAGAAAATAGTTTCCGAGAAGGAATTAGAATCTTAAGACAATTCCTCTCGAATCCGTGATCGTATAGTGGTTAGTACATTGCGTTGTGGCCGCAATATATATAACCCAGGTTCGAATCTTGGTCACGGCAAATGTTTTGTTTTTATTCAATTTCTAAACTTAAAAATTATTTTTCAACAACTAATTTGCTTGTTTACGACATTATTAAAACTTGATTGATTGATTGAATATTAGTGTCGCACTGTTCAGCTACACGAGGGCTTTTGGCGACGGACCACGTAATTTTGAACCATGGTCAAGTGACGTGGACGACACCTGAGCTGGCACCCCCCTCTCCTAACTACCACACCACACCAACGGGAGGACGTTTCAGCTCTCGACAGATTTAACGGGCATCGCTGCCCTACACGGCGGGTCTTTAGTGGTACAGGGTTCGAACCCGTGACAAAGCAAGCCACGGTCCGATACCTATACCACTCGGCTACCGCGGCCACCACGCATATTTAGAAGAATATATCTCAAAATAAAATTTAAAGTAGAGATCAACATATTATAGATTCTTTATGTAAAGGCGATTAAAAAATGTATTTATTTAAATACTCTAATCTGATTGATTTTTAAGGGGAGTTGAAAACCTCTCTATCTACTGACAATGTTAAATTTGCTGTTTTCCATGTACCTTTCCTCAAAATCTATTATATGTACATGCTTGAAATTTTTCATACAATTATATATATATAAAGTACACCTCTCTTATTATACTGAAATAAGCTTTTAGCTAATTTTGAATTTTTTAATAAATTATGAAATATTTTATCAAACATTGCGAAATTTGACCCATTTTTCACTTAAAAAATTTGTAAAAAATAAATTTTTGAGTTTTTCCCAAAAAGCTCATTTCAGTATGTATTAGACATCATTATAAATATTTCATAAAAAATTTACATATCTGTGAACAGTAGTTTCTCAGAAAAGGTACATCGCACATTAAAATTTACATTTTGAGATAAATTGATTTTAATGTATACAGTGAGACTTCTAATAGGCTAGGAAATAAAAAAATAAAAGGCTCAGTTTAAAATAAAAGATACATGTTTTGGTTTATATCAGACGTTACACTTTTAAGCAAAAACAAAGTACTTTGTTTACATTTTTCGCCATTAAAATGGGCGTGTCCCAGATTCAACGATTATTTAAAAATAGGTTTTAAGAGTTTCTAAATACTCTAGAGGTTAAAGTAAGGTATTTTTAGAAAGGTTAAAATCTATACAATTTGAAAATGCAAAAATCTCAAGTTGTCAAAAAAATAAGATTTTAGCTTTCCGACAAGTTATAATTTACTCATTAATAATATTGATTTGAGTGCTAAGTGTCACGTGCCCACGCATTGCATTTAGCAACTGGGATTACGTACTTGATTTTTTTTCCACGCAAACTGTTATAAGTCTAGGTCTATTGAGATAAAATGCAATCACATTACATATTCCGAATTTATTTTGTTTTTATACTTTGTGTTTGCAGCCACAGACATTGAGAAATATATTTCCCTTAAACACAATGTTCTGAACGGCATTAAAATGTTTACAGCTGTGATGTACCTCCCCTTGGAAATACATCCCTCGAAGTATCAGCGTGAGCTAGAGGTGTAGGGTTATCGTAAAAACTAGAATCAAACATTATCTTAATATGACTTTATTAAGATATTCAACTTAAACTTTTTTGAACAAATATAATCTTATAAATTAATGAATGAGAGAATCTACGATGAAGCAATACGCAACGCACAATATAATACAGACCTATCTCAATAATTGAACCGCCTAATCTTCAAATATAATAATAATAAGTAATCGATCCTACCTTATATTATTCTGTAATAAACTTGTCTTTATCTACAAGATATGCAGCTTTACGTTTAACTTCTAATCGATCACCAATATGTTATCCACAACACGTAGAACTTGAATCTTTGAACGTCGAACTTCAATAATCATCCAATACCACGACGCACGTCAATTGTCGAACATTCCTTTACACTACCATTACATTGCGATTATTGCCATCACGCTTACTTTAAGATCCTATATTTATCCTATATTATTTGCATCTCTTCACTTCTCGTTTCTTGGATTTGGTTGGAAAAGAGTTGCCATTAATTCTGGTTCAAAGAACCCAAAGGACTTGTTAAAGAAAAGACGCGTAAGACGTCACACAGCTGTCTGAGAAATACTGTGTAATATGCATAAATTTGTAACATAAAATTTAAGAGCTTTTCTTGCTTAAATTTCGATTTTAACATTAAACTAGCTGCATGGCCCGGCGTTGCACGGGCTTTCTCTACTTTTCTAAATTTCCCCTTTCCTTCACAAAATCAGCACTTCTAATACTCTTTTTCAAAATGACTTCCACTCTCTCCCCTCCTCCGCTTACCCCGGCGTTGCTCGGGCTTTTACCGAGTGTATAGCTTAAAATTCCCTGTTTCAAATTTTTTTTGCTTCTTTTCTTTGTCAGACAGGTTTCTTCCCCCCCCCGGCGTTGCACGAAATTTTTTAAATGCATAACCTATTGTCATAGAAATTCCCTTTTCCCTCTCGCTATCAGAGCTGTTGAGTAAGTGAACCTAAAGACCAGCCGTGTAGGGCAGCGATGCACGTTAAATTTGTCGAGAGCTGAAACGTCCTCCCTTTGGTGTGGTGTGGTAGTTAGGAGAGGGGGTGCCAGCTCAGGTGTCGTCCACGTCACTTGACCATGGTTCAAAATTACGTGGTCCATCGCCGAAAGCCCTCGTGTAGCTGAACAGTGCGACGTTAATATTCAATCAATCAATCAATCGAGTAAGTGAACAGTGGGACTTTAATATTTACTCACTCACTCCCCGGAAACGAAAATGTACCTTTTTAAAAATAGTTGCTTTTAATAGTAGAAATTTTTATAATTACAAAATTTCACAACTGTATTAAATGTTGAATTAAAATTGTGAACATTTTTTGAAATGTTCGATACACGGGAAAAAAGTTTCATACAATTATTTTTATAAATGAAGAAGTTATAAAAACTTTGAATTTGATAAGTAGTTATTAATTATTTAAAATTTGAGTATATTTTAAAAATTCGTAAAAAAAAGTTTTCGGCATTTTATTTTTTAAATCAGTAACTCTAAGAGATCAAAGTATGAGTTTTTTAAAAATCATTTTCATATAAACGCATCGATATTGATTCATTGTAGAAAAATCTTAAATTATGTAAAGTATCCTTGTTTTGTAAGAAAAAAATACTCTCTCTCTCGTGACGAAATAAATTATCTTTCCAATTACTTAATATCTTCGGAGGAAAGCAGTGAAAAGACTTTTAAAATAAAAGGAAGAGATATTCAATTTTGCATTGCGTTATTTTTGTTAAAGTTTAAATTATTTTTCGGGTTTAATTTTCAAGTTAATGCCTTCGAACTTCATATATCGATTGCAAACAACTGTAATTTTTAAACAAAAAATGTAACAATAATACTTTAGTAATAAGTTATCGTAAAAAGTCTAATAGATGATAAACACATTTTTTTAAAAAAATCCGTAATTTTTATGTAATTTTTTCAATATTTGTACAGATTACGGATAATATCGTTCTACACACTGAAAAAAAGTTTCGTGAGATTATATTTATAAATAAAGAAGTTATTAAGTATTTAAATAAAATTGTGAGCATTTTTTGAAATGTTCGATAAAAACGTATCGATTTTGACTCATTTTTAAAAATCGTAAAAAATAGAATATAATTATTTTGTAAAATAAATTATACCGTATCGTGACGAAGTAAATGATCTTTCCGATTCTGTAATTACTTTTTTGTCTAAGTCTCATGAAAAAAATTAGATCACGTTTTAAAAAGTCTGAAAAAAAAAAGAAATTCGGAGATTTTGAACTTGGCCCCTGACGGGGAAAATGACTCTAATTATGCGTTTTAAGGTTTTTAATTAATATCTTTATTTGGAATATTGGATTATAAATGATCAAAACGAATTCTTTGGATCATTCCCGAACTTTTGGTACCTTCTGCGAGTTTCTGCGTCGTGCGGTTTGTGAGAAGATAGGGTCCCATAGACGCATAGATACGTTTGTTTACCTACAAATTTTAACAGTCTAGACCTGTCGATATGTTGATAAATTTTTTCCTATCCTTCGTTATGTAGGTGTTTTTTCCACAAATGTAAAAAAGTGCATTTCCATTTGAAAACTATTTATTTTGCAGGACATTGCGGTAACTAACGATTAAAAAATTATCTCGTGGAACGCGATATAGTAAACAATAGAATATTGGCAATCTAGTTGGAAGTATATATTTATACACTGGTGTGCAAAAATTAAGGACGAGACGGTTTTTTCAATATAACTGTACAAAAGCTTTCCAAATCAACACATTTAATACCGTAAGATCCCCAATACGTAAGGACATGTGTAATGTAAGCAACACTTACTAAAAGAGAAATCAGAGGGATAAAAAGAAGCTTGGCTGAAAAAGTAGCATGGAGCGCAATGCGACTGAAGGCCGAAACATCCCTGTGATGGGTGTCCAGCAAGAAACATCCGATCTTTAGTAGGGGATATGATCTCCCCTGACTGCTAGGCAGGTTTCACAGCGTCTGCCCATGCTGAGAATGAGGGTGTCAATGAGTTGTTGAGGCATTGCTGCCCATTCGTCTTGCAGCACCAATCGAAGCTCCCGAATCGTTACTGGTGGTAAGGTACGAGCTGCCAAGCGTCTGCCTAGAAATTCCCATACATGCTCGATTGGATTGAGATCCGGAGATCGTGCCGGCCAATCCATACGTTCAATATCCTCACTCTCTAAGAGCTGTTCGGCAGCTACTGTGCGATGACATGGTGCATTGTCGTCCATGAAAAGGAACTGCAGACCCATAGCGCCTCTAAAAAGACGCACATATGGAAGAAGAATCTCGTTACAATAACGGGTCCCGTTGACTGAACCTGCGTCGAAGATGTGAAGGTCTGTACGACTACCAAGCATGATGCATCCCCAAACGAGAACACCGCGACCTCCATACCTGTCCCTTTCAATGATGTTCGAGGGATGACTGCGGCTTCCCCGCTCTCTCCAGATGAGTATGCGATGAGAATC